TGAATGTTCTGCATGTTGCTGCGCACATGAACCATCATAGTGCATAGAAATGTTTACAGCCATATGGACAGTCATGTTTTCAATTGTAAGACAATGTTTTCAGATATTGTAATGATGGGAGAACATAAGAAAAGTGATACCTCCATTGTGCCTTTCTGTTTTAGCTCAGTGGCTATAAAAAGGTAAAACAGGACATTTAGAACATAAGGCACTAATTACTTGTGTGTGTCCCAAGTGCACTTTATTGCCACTTATACCCTTCAAGCCATTGCATCTCCCTGATGATTGTTTTTGCTATAGAGTGCAGTATATGCCTAGTATGGTGGTACTTCATTACTAAATGTTTTGGCATATACATCATACGCCCTGTTTTTTTTCTGTTCGTTTTTGTTCTTGTTGTTACCCTGTGTGTTAGGGTGTCAGGTGATGCTTATCTGTTTTCCTGTTGACAGTGCCATGTGACATAACACCTGTAGCTGCTTAAGTGGGTTCTTTTTTTGCAGTTGGAGTTCTTAGAGAACACAGTCTTCTGCTCTGACACCAATATCCTAAGCACAATCAAGAAGTCAGTCTGGGGAAGGTTTAGACATTTTACTCTGCACAGAAAGCCCTTGACAAGTTCTGCCACTGCTGCATCATCTTTCTAAAGCAGATTTTTTCCCCCAGATCTTGGTTTTCTCTGTGTATGTTCTATATGTATGTGTGTGTATGTCAGTGTGCAGCTTTGCACAAGCCCACAAGTGCTTTTGAGCTTTGTTTATTCAGGGTCATCAATAGACTGCACAGATAAATTTTACTCCACTACTTCATTATGCTTGCATGTATGCACAATAAAATATCTTTGCAAACAGTTTTCAAAAACAAAATGAATGTTTCCTTTTAGTATTGTTATTACCCGTGCAGTAGTTTTTAATTGCTACTTTTGTTTTGGATTCAGCACTTGTTTTTATTGTTATTTGTTAGGACCTGAAAATGTGTGGATGAGTGTGTGAGAATGTTTTCAACTTGTTGCACCTTATTAGAGTAGAACTCAGAATCTTGTATGGTTTTCTTTAAAGATACAGTGACAATAAAGGCATTCATTTCTGTTCTATTCTATTTTAAATAAGCTTTTTGCTACTATTCTACCTTCTCCTGTATCTGTGTGCAGTTTTGCACCTCTGCACCTATCTATGCACATGAATGTGCACGTTGAGCTTCTGAAACACAGTTGCCTAGGAGACAGCCAGACTCATTTTCACATTGGAGCAGAAGTATGACTCATTTTGTTCAGGCAGTCTCTCAATCCCCCCCGTCCCCTGTCCCTCGTCTCCCTCTCACTCATTTTTCTCATTTTGTGGACCCCAGATATGGATAATTCAAGACTCTGCTCAAAATACCATTTTCTATTCCTCTCCTGGTTTCACTTGTTCTCTCTGTGTCTGCTACCATATTTTTCTTTTACTGTATGTAGTTGTTGACAGTGGTATGTGTGTGTGTGTGTGAGAGAGAGAATTTCCCTGTTTATTGAAAGGTGCTACATAAATAATCCTCTCTTTTCTTGCCTGTGAGCATTTTCCTGGATGCATAGAGAAATCATCACAGAGTTATGCACTCTGGTTATTTCAGTTTATTCGGAGTAAAGTTGTGTCAGAGGAGTGAAAATGAACTATGAACAGAGATTTATAGATGGCCTGTTATGGTGTACCAAGGTCCCTTTTCTCACTAAATTAAATTTTCTTGTTTTGTTATTTTCTTTAGTGTTTTGTTGTCGGCCCCAGGTATGGAGGAAGTCCAGACACTGCTCAGCATCATCCATGCTAATGAAGTTGGTGCCATTTCACAGTTATTAGCATACATTTAGTTGTGATTTTGATTAAAATAATTTTCCTGTAGTCACTGACCTTTTCCTCCCATGGCGATTTTTGTTACATTAAACACATCTTGACTTAATCATTTTGCTCATATGCATTGTTTTTCAGACTTTTAATGTGGATTCCAGATTGACAGCCAAAGACCTGTGTGATTGTTTTTCACAGCAAGACTACAGGTAGGGTGCACACACACACCCCTACACACACATAAAAATGATTCCATATACAGTATATTGTTGGTATATTACATATATTGAAATGGTTACAGTTCCAGTGTGAACAAGGATTTCATGACGCAGTTCCTACCACTGCTTAGAGTATGGATCAGGCAACATATTTCTGTGAACCTGAACCGAGCCCCAGTCTGGTGGCTGAACCTGACAAACATATTGTATTTCATGTTCGAACTGGAGGCAAAACACAGTAAAATGGTTGAAATAGATTCAGCACCACATTAATTTGACATGCACCCAGTGGACTGAGCTCTGCATTTAGCAACCGTTTTTTCTAATCAGATATCACAATCAGACATTCTCAGGATTCTTGCGTTCTTTGTTGCAGCATGCCCAGGCAGGTACACATTGGTTTTCCATCATAAGCTGTTAATCTATTACAACAAAGCTCTTCGTTGATATCCCCAGCAGAGCTCTCTTATTACTGGTGGCCATGACAACTCCAAGCAACTGAGACACTGATTATTAAACCATTTCTTTGAAAGAATGCTTAACAGAGCTTGTATAATCTAAGCTTCCTACACTAACCACCAGGCTGGCATATAGTGGGACTGTGTGTCCCATGTCTGCAGATCAGATGTTCTGGTGAGCTGTTGAGACATAATTACAGGCACATTGCCATGCAGGGTCCCAGCTTATCATTGCATTTACAAGAGTTAGTGTTGGTTCAGCACTAATACTTCTTTTAAATGTTAAGTAACCAGCTGGCTTTATGGAGATAAAGTGTTCTTCGTGGACTCCTATAAACTCATAAAATAAAGGAAGTGTTGACTCACCAAGCTTAGCCAGGATGACAGCTGAAGGGAGGTTATGTTAATTCACTAACCTATTGTCATTGTTATTTCTTTTAAACAGCTATATCTATATCTATAAACACCTTTATACCATATACAGTATTTCAGTTGGAAGTGTCTTAGGAAAGGGGGTAGGAGGAAGTGCTGCCTAGGACTAACACAGGCTTTTATATTTACTTATTTCTGGAATTTTCTTTTCGGTGTTCAGTTTGTTAAAAAAAAAAGTAGCATCATTACATAACTGGAAAGGTTTACGTAGTATTAAAGACAACATCTTCTGTGTCATTTTGTGGAAGAGGCAGTCACATAACTCCACTGAAAGATATAGTTAAGCTGACTGGGCTGCGATTGTAAATGTTTAATTTAGATTCACTGGAATGAACTAGACCTTACCTTGTATTATCCACGGCGTTAAATATTTGATTTGTGCTCAGTGCTTGGTGGTATGACATCACATTGTACATAAAACCTTTCCACAAGCATTAAGGACAGGTGGATGTGAACAGCCGATAAACTTCCAGAGTAATTTTGGGCCGGGGGGGGGGGGGGGGAACTCAGCTCTGCTGTTTCCTAAAGCAAACCAAACTAGTTCAGTGGAAGAAAACAGATCTTTACAAAACCTGTTTGATTCATTCATAAACTCCAATGAAGTGAAACTGCTTTGTGTTTATTACAACAGATAATTCACTCCCAGTTGTTTCTCATCAAGTTTGCCTTTTTTTTTCTAAATTAAAAAGAGAAATTGGTTATAGCCTCACATAGAAGCTTTTTGTTCATCCTCTGTTTCTTAATATTACTGAAGACTAATACTATTTACTACTAATTAGACGGCACCAAAAGCCCTTGTCGATCTTTATGCATCAGACATTTTCTAAGGAACCCAGTGGCACCTTCTTATCATGGACTGGCCTCCTTCAGAAGCCTTTCTCTGACACTCAGTCACACTCTCTGGGGCAGTGTATTGCTCTCAGATGGAAAAAATGACTGTTTTAAGTAAATTGTATTTTGACGGGATTTCTGCACAAATGCTGTTTCTGCATAATAGATGTACAGTGCAAGAATTGAAATATTTTAAATGTTTGCTTGTGCTTCCTGGCAGGAGGTTTTCATCCTGTTTGATTAAAATAGAGATGAGTATAGTGTAGGTATGTGCAAGAATCTAGCCAAAAAATAAAATACAACAACAGTCTTTTACAAATGGTGACCTGCCTATTATCAGCCCTCTTCTTAAACAGTGAACAGTATACTGTATTGTGGACTTGGTCACAGTGTGTCTCTTGCAGCAGTGAGACAGGAGAGTGAGTCCATTTGGAACCGTCATGTCACCATGTCATGTGATTCTGCATTCAGTCCAGTGCAGATCATTACTGCCTCCTGGGGAAATCATTTAATGAGCAGTCTGTTAGGAAACACACAGAAGCAACACAGCTCTCCCTCTTTGTGTACTGTATATGCTGTTGATCTGGTCCAGTGACAGCATGCACAATTCATGTGCATCACTGACTGTGTTTGACAACCTTCAGAGATACTTCATACAAGAGTTTGAAGTGTGAACAGTGTGTCACATTGATGAGCCTTGAGTTGTCAGTATAAACACACTGACAAAGTCTGTCACGGTGTCTGTCTGTCAAGCATGCTGAAAGTCAAAACTAGACGAGCTGTGACAGACCGACACATCCTGGGAGTGAACCTACTGTTTGCACAAGTTATGAAAACACACAGTGCACTAGGAATAAGAGGGGGAAGTGGATGGATAGAAGTAGGGTGAAAACAGAGGGTGTGGACAACCAGCAGCATCTGGTCTTTCTTCCTCCTCTCCTCTCTGCAGTTACATAATGTTCCAGTGGAAATACAGCAGATGAAGAAATAAGCAAGCAATGAGATCCCTTAGTGCCTCTGCTGCTAAGCAGCCATTCTGTATATGTGTTTGTGCTCTCAGAGAGAACTGGTTATGTTTTGCTTCTGCATTATTTAGTACACACATGTATGTGGTGTTGTAACAAATGAAATATAATTCATCTGAAGAGAAGTGAGAATAAATAGCTGCTGTTGAAACTCAACTTCTAGGAGCTTCAGTTTACACAAGCTTTTCTTTTGTGCTGAACAAGGTCAGGACATAGAAGGTTTACTTCTCAAGTTGTCTGGTTTCACCCAGAGAATGTAATCTGAAGTTGTATAATTTGTGACTGCATTATGTAACATTCAAGTTTAAAACATGTTGCTGCTATGAATGGATTCTTCAGCTATAACATCTGTGTAACTGTGTTCCCAGGGAGAAGCTGAGAGTTGGAGGGACCCAGTTAATGGAGCTAAAAGAGGCCCTGGACCATTGTGTTGGGGCCACAGGGCAAAACATCAGCTTCGCGACATAGCCCTGAATGGACCAGTGTTGGGACATTTACCAAACTGATGCACTGAATCACCTGGTAAACACCAAATGTTAAAGGGATCTATATATGTTCACTGTGCCTTCTGTGACTGAACCCATTTACATTTTTTTATTCCCACGTGTATGTTAAAAGGTAAAACATTTGTTAGACAGAGCTGGCATTTTAACTTTTTTCATTCCACTTCTCTGAAAAGAAAAAGCTCACCGCAGAAGAAAAAACAAGGGACTGCAGCTTCTCACTGGGTGCTTATAAATGACAGGAAAGCCTAGGGTCGAAATCAGTGAGCATTCATATTCACTTTAGCTTTTTACATGTAAAAATGTCTTCTTTTTTTTTTGAGAAAAGATTGTGTAAAAAAAAAGTTCAGTATTTACAACAGAAATGTTTTTAAGCATCTTTTTAGACTTTTTCAACTGCATACTCCATTGATCTTTTGCATAAAAGTGACTTTCAAACTAAGTTGCAGTTGCATGTGAGTGGTTAAATGTCCACGTCTTCACACCTCAAGCATTAGCATTACAAGTGCCATGTGTAAACACACAGCTGACTGCATGTGAGAGAGGAGCAGCCTCTCCCTCCTTTAAACAGAGACCGACGCAGGGAAAATACAATAGAAAATCAAAGCAGGATGTCTCCATCAACCCCAGAGACTATGCCTGGTGATGGTTAAGGGAAGCAGAGGGTATAATGCTCGTTAGGTTCCGATAGTGGAAGCGCAGCATATGTGCTGTGATGGATAGCCTGATATTATGTGTGTGTGGTGACTAAGGAGATCAGAGCTGCTGTGACACATAGGCTAAAGCACCAGATGTCACACAGGAGGAGGTGAAGGTAAAGAGGGAGTTCAGGAGAGATAAACCAGGGCCAGTGCTGACCTGGAGTCACTGCACTTTGTCCCTTTAATTCATCACAGAGCAGAGTTGTTAATGAAGATTTTGTTGAGTTGTATTGTTGGACAGACTGTCTTGTACAGCATGCTCTACTTCATACGTTTTGCACATCTGACATTCTAAAATGTGTAGTGAGTTTTTGTTTTACTTCAGTTTAAATCATTTTCATGTAGGAACAATGTCAGCTGTCATTTAAAAGTGGACCTTATCTCTGTATAATCAAGTATCTGGCTAATGTGAAACAGCTTTTATCATTGAAGTGATGGAAATTTCCCTTCATTTCCACAGGTGTAAACCATTTGAAGATTTGTCCCCTTGTTTGTATGTCATTTGTGCCAACTGTAAATTAAGAAATATGCGAACAGATTTGAAATGACTAAATGCATTTCTTTATGCTTAACTGTGTTTACATTTTAACAGTAGACTGTCCTTGATTTTTTTTGATTCAACCAGTTTCTGCCCTACAAGAGTTAGAAGAATCCGAAGCAAGCATAATCTGGCAAGTAACTTCTCACTGAGATCAACTAAAAGGACGGTAGCATGTGAATGAACACGGGGATTTAAACTGACTGGCAGCCAGTGTTGTCTGAGTTCATGAAGATGCAGCCAGCTCAGTTTATCC